GCCCCCCCCTTTTTTTTTTTTTTTTTTTTTTTTTTTGTACGGAGGTACGCAGCTGGAAACACTGAGCTAAATCCCCAGCCCCCTACCCTCTTGAAAACAGAAAAGGGTGCGGGGGGAGAGACAGGTTTGGCCTTTCCCTTTTGTGCCCGGGGCCCCGGTATTTAGCTCATCCGTGCTGCCACCTGCCTCACAAGCACAGGGTCCAGAGTTCGTTATCTGGTGCCCAAAAAAAAAAAGAAAAGAAAAAGAAAAAAGAAAATGTGTTCTGTTTCCCAGTGCTTCTTCTAGAAAATTGCTTCTTCTCTTTGAAATTTTTGTTCCTTGACTGTAAAATAAGGGAGTTGAATTAAAATCTGGAATGGTGATCTCAGATGCTTTCAGAAGCCAGGCAAGGAATATCTAACAGACTTTGGATGAATAATGGAGAGCGGTGAAGCTTTTGACAAACTGGAGGATGCAAGCAGAGTCAGATGTGGTTAAACCTTGAGCTTTAGCCAGGTGTGGTGGCACACACCCATCACCCCAGCACTGGAGGCTCAGGCAGAGGAACACAAGTTCAAGTCCAGGCTGGAGATCTTGTCTCAAAATAAAAATTAAAGGGGTGAGGATGTAGCTCAATGTGCAAAGCTCCTGGGGTTACAATCCTCACTACTGAAAAATAAAAATCGTCTATTTGGCAGAAACCCTCTGGTTCACAATTACTACTACGTAAGCCTCCTTGCCCTTATTAAAACAAAATTTTATAGGACTTCCTTCACAGATTAATAGGAAAATGTGAAAAAAACAAACCAAGCAAAAATACCTTGGTGAACCATCCCTTCTTTTCCACAGCTTCTGTACTTGGTATCCAGAGCTAGGGATACCTCCTCCACCCCAAGAGAGCACTCTCTCAGGTGTGAGAATCACGACTTCTTATTAGAGAAGCCTCACTCACAGCCACAGGGCTCCACCACACTGGAGGAGACTCCCTCCCTTAGACCCAGGGAAACAATAATTTGTAAACTCGAATAGCCAGCACAAGCCAGCCTCTCAAGAGGTTGAGGCAGGAGGATCACAAGTTCAAGGTTGGCCTGGGCAATTTAATGAGATCTGACTCAAAATAAAAAATAAAAACTTAGCTGGGGCTGTAACTTAGTGATAGAACATTCCTGGGTTCAGTTAGATATTGAAAAAAAAAATGAGTACATTGATTTAGCCCCATAGCAGAAGGAAGCTTTGGCATTTCAAGTCCAGGCTCCAGAACTTGCCCACCAGTGTGAGGAATGGGATGAGGATTTATTTCTGGTTGTCTGGGAGAAACATTAAAAGACACTTGCATCTGTGCACACGTACACCTTAGAGACATTCATGGGTTTAGCCAGTACTCTTCACATTCTTCCTAACGTGTCCATAAAAGTAACATAATTAACGGTGAAAGTACTGCTGTTAGTGTGCAGAACAGGTTAGATTCAGCTCTGGAACCTAATTGTGGTAAAAGAAACAAAAGCAGGATTTTATATAGCCTCGACATCCCTCGCTTTCTGTGGCACCACTCGCTGTAAAGTGACAGAGCCACTCTGTGATCCCTCTCCACCCAGCAACTCAGGGCTAGCAGTGTCTTTCCCAGTCACAGGCATGCCCATGTCAGCCTCGTTCTCAGACACAGACTGGGAAGAGGGCAAGATCTAGGTCAGAAGTTGGCATACTCTGCTAATCCTCGTAAGTCCCCAGTTTATTTATTTGGTTTTGGGGGGTTTTGTTTGTTTGTTTTGTTTTTTGGTGCTGGGGATCAAAATTGGGACCTTGCGCTTGGGAGGCAGGCGGCAGAACCACTGAGCTAAATCCCTGGCCCACCACTTGATTTATTTGGAAGTGTATTTGCCTCACTCCAAGAAATCAGGGTAGAACATCATCCGCTTCTAAGGGTCACCGTCCTTCATGATAGTGACTTTATTTGGTGCTCCTCAGGTGAGTGCCCAGAACAGGCTGGGTCAGAGGTACTGCGGAGGGGAGGCTGATGGAAAAGACCCGCAGAAGTGGTCCAGGTATGCAGTGCTAGGGGCTCTTTCCTAAGGACACTAAAGGCAGGCGCACTGAAGGAGAGGAGCTCTCTATCCAGCCTCCTTTGGCATTTGCCTGTCTGCCTTTCCCTTTGCTTGCAAGTTTCTGGGATAAAGCTCCAATCCCAGGAGGGCTGGTGCTCTGTACAGAGCTGTTCAGCTCCTATGGATACCTGTCGTGGGTGGGTCTATGCGAAGCACCAGGCAGACTGAATTCCTGAGGCAGCTTCATTGTTGTCTAGAGCCAGGGTCGGGAGAGCTGGGCTGCTCTTGGGCCTGTCCCTGGCCCCAGCTTGCTTGACTGACATCTTGTGACTCTACCCCTGTGTCACTGAGCCCCCAGTATACTCTCATTGTCACACCAAGCCTGCAGTTGCCTCAGGGCATGGAGCCTTCCCACAGGATGGAGCACGGCCAGGATTTTTCCTAAGGCCTGGTGCCTCTCCTCACCTGTGACCAGCGTCCCCTTCTGCGTTGTTTATTCTGTTCTCTGTGTACACACACACAAGTGCTCTTCCTCTCTCCTGGTCTTAGGATTAATATGTTCAGTTTCTTGAACTCTTAGGAACCAAAGCACCAGAGGACTCACAGCCAGTGGACACAGACCCCATCCCCTTCACCAAGGCTCAGCAGGAATACCAGTCCCTCCCTGGAACTTCTCTCTTCTGGGAGGCTGCGACTCGACTGACTTACTGAAGTCCTATGAGGGACTATTAAGTTCCATGGACTTCATTTTCCCTGCTGTTCCAAGCATCTCCATCTGTGATTCCAAGTGAATCATGGGACATTACCTCCTTGGCCCTGAAGTGGTTCTGGATGAGGGGCTTAACTTTCTGTGTAAGACCAATAGCTAATACTTTTTGTTTTCAGGACCCAAGGACTGTGGCTGCTTCTCATCTCTGCACTTGTTTTGTTTTTTGGGTTTCTTTTTTTTTTTTTTTTTTTTTTTTG